AAATCAGAGACAGACCTGACCACAGCACACATTAGTATGATAGAAAAATAGGAAAAAGAGAAAGAGAGATATAACAAACCTGTGCTCAAGGCAACAGGGATCGTACGCAAAGGTAGAGATGATGTGTGAGCAATAGATAATAAGAAAGCTAATGGTGTCATAGAATCAAATTAAATAAAAGATAATTAGGACGATGATTTGTGAGTAAAGATAGCAAGAGAAACACTTACAGTTTCTTTTTGATGAGGAAAAGAAAACTGAGTGGTACAAGGGTTTCATTATATATACTTGCTTGTACAAACTAGCATATGTACGGATATGAAATGAAAAGAAATATGAAATGAAAAGCTCTCAGGTCACAAGCGACCTATTCCCAATTAGTAAAAAGAGAAACACAACTCCCGCAACCATCATTCCTTAACCGTGCTCATTATCCTTCATCATAATTTCACATCAATACCCTTTTTAATTTAGTCTTCTTTCTTCTTCATCTATTACATCAACCGGAAGTCCTTGACTCGTAATATCACAGCTTACGTATATTCTACTCCACAACGAGGTATGTTAGAATACCACGACACTTTTGACTCCCATATGGCTGCAGCACAGGACTTATGGATTGACCAGTGCGTTGATTGATATTGTGAACGATCACAGACTGTCACTATTCCACTTGGTGAAAAAGTCAAGAACAATGCTCAAGAGTTTTTCAACAAGTTGAAATCTGCCATCAACTATGTTTCAAACCAACATCAGCAAGATCCAAAGATTATCCATATGATCAGTGACCTTTGATAATCCTTTTTTAGTTGTCTGCCCTTTTTTTGACACCTGTGGCCACTGGTGGCAGTTTATGAAATGAAGCAATAATTACCAAAATTCATGATTTGTATGATAGTTGAGTGTGTATACACCGTGTCTGTGTAGGCTTTGCTACACTACGGTCCAAACTTTAAGGGCAAATATGTCTTCAAAACACCCTCAGTATTGACATTCGAGAAACATGGAACTTTACCTACCAGTGACAAATGCGTTATATGATTGTGATGTAGATTTTGTGTTTTTGTAGAAAAAATGTAAATTCAATGTATTTCTTATTGTGATTTGAAAACATATACGCTTGAGGTATCTCGATACCTCATCAGAACATAAATTAACCACAACATAAACTAAACGTGCCCATTACAAACTCAACAGGTACTTCCTATATAGCTTCCATGTTTAAAGTAGACTAGAGTAGACTGCTGTAGATTGTTCAGCTTCTGATACCAAGTCCCCAAGCGAGGTTTGACTTTTGGAAAACCAAGTCATATGAAGTCGAGTCATTTCCCTTTTGGCAACAAGTCACAGATCTCTTTGCACATCATTCCGCTCTTCCACTTGTTTTTATATGGTTTCTTCTTTGTTTTTCTTTCTTTTTGCCATCCTGCTAACATATCCATTCTCTCCCATTTTCCTTCTGACTCAGGTTCTCCGAGTCCGCAAAGGTCCTCAATCCGATAAGGTTAAAAAACATAAGCATCCAATCTGTGATACACCAAGATACGCCAGTCTGCCTTCGTCTGCTTCGTTTTGAATCCTATGTTGACCAAGTTTTCTTTTTTCTAAATCGTTCCATTCTTTCCACTCAATTCCTTCTTCACAATCTGTACCATTCACACATCTCTCCCACGCAGCTCTCAAACCCTTCTCCAGATTAGTGATCCGGCGTATTGAATACTACTGAATAACACCGATCGATCTCGCGTCTCGAATGATCAACGTCGCAATAGAGCCAACTCGCTCATTCCCGCAGTCAGATAAGCAAGCACCTTCTGTGGTTCTTGCTCGGGAGTGACCATTAGCGACACCTGATAATTGAGACTCTTTGCTAGCTGAATGGCTTAATCTTCATACTCATCGAGGTATAAAGCCAAGATGGTTACTGCAAATGAATTCGAAGATGCTGATTTAATTTGGGATCAATTTAAACATGATATCATCCAAAGGGTTTTAAGGTATGGTGATGTACTTGTTAAGTAAGTGTTTTATGAAAATGATCCTTTTTGCGGGATGGGTTTGGGCAAGG